ATCAAGTGCTTGAGAAGTCCAGCTCTTCCTGGCAGAGCATCTGTGTTGATGTTTATATCATTGCCCTGCTGTATGGGAAAGGCATGCTTTCTCTTGCTGCTTGGCTAAAAATAGGGTGGAATATAGCATTGTATGAGATATTTTAAGATAGCAAAAACATTTAAGAGGTTAAAGGTTTGGCTTTTGGATCAAAAAAGATCAGTGATATAATTCGTGGTGTTCCTAGCAGTCTGAATTTTATCTTGAGTTTGTCAGTGATTCGAACTCTTGGGTAGCAAGTTCTTCTAGGTTCATTTGGAGCAGTCTGAAAAGCCCACTCTGCTGTCTTTTCTGTCAGCTTCCCAGCATGTAGAGCAGGCCTGAAAACAGCCTCTATTTATACCCCCTTGTTCATATTTGGAAAATCAGTTGTTTCACTGAAGAGAGGGAGGGAGAGAGGACAGCGTGAGCAGTCATCAGGGCGTGTGCTCGTGCGTTATAGTGACTTCAAAATAAAACTGGCACATTTTAGTGTCTAATTATTTTTAGTGAGCTTGGAGGGTTTTAATTAAAATTTAAGAGTGCTCTTCAAGCTCTCCAAGCTCCAATTTTATCCCACTGTATTGTGGAGCACTTGTCACTGTGGAAAAATGTACAGTAACTGGCATTTGCTCCTCTGTTTCCTAATGAAAAATGTGGGATGGATGATCAGCAGGGATATAAATATATGTTGTCAGAATTAGTTGTAAACCAAGTTCAAGGGTACATTTGATAAGTTATTGTTCTTGGATACAGAGAAAATTTACTGCATTTGAGATTTATGACTCCTATAGTAAAAATAAAAGGAATTGCTTTAATATTTTTCTAAACGAGTTAATAAAGCAGCAGGAAATCTGCAGAGAGGGACCCAGTCATTGTTTTTCTTCACTAAAATATTTTAAAGCTATTTTCGCTGTCATGTTTCTAATTTTTTAGCATTTCTCACTTTAAATACCACTGAGGTAAAAAGAATAATGATAAATGTTCACTCAAAGGTAAACTGTTTTAAAGTACAATAAAAAATGTTCCCATTATCCTCTTCTATTCCCCCATGCTTTAGTTTTGTGATGATTTATTTGCTCTCTTTGAGCTCTTTGGAATAACTTCATTGTATGCAGAAAAGGAGTTAATACTGCTATGCTTTGTTTAACTAAGAATAACTTAAAATTGTTCCTAAAATAATATCATACAGATTAATAAATATCTTACATATTCTGACTTCAAGTTTCTCTTGTACTGTGAAATTAATTATGAGTGTGATAAAGCATCCTTGACTTACCTGGCCTGAAACGTAGTTACTTAAGACGTGGAAACATTGCTTTGCAATCCATTATGCAGGGTATTTATAAAAAATTAGCTCTGAATTGTGTTGTCCCTTTTTTCCTTATAAGTTTCTTGAAAATGACAAACCTATATTTGCAAAGGAAAAGAAAAAACTGGAAAACTAGTGCAACTGAGAGTTAATTTTTAACATGTCAAAACCTTTTATATCCATGGTTAAAATATAAGCAAGAACTGAAGTCTAGTTATTGATTTTTAATAGTCCTGTTTTAATCACATTATTTACAAAAATGAGATAAGGCAAATAAGGTCCTACATTTCCTTGAGTATGTATTAGTCTGTGGACACTAATTCTTTCAAAGTATGAGGATTTAATTTTGTCATTTTCCACTTTTACACTGAGTGTTATGGCTTACACTCATTGTTAATATGTATGTACTATAGTGACATTTTTAATACTGTAATGCTGTGGTTTCTTATCAATCTCCAAAACGTCTGTAGCTCCTCTCCTGTTTTATTATCTGAAGACAACTCAGTCAAACCTTGCAACTCAAATAATAAAATATACATATATGTTTCATTGTTTTCAGGACTGTGGCACTACCATAACTATATTCGCTGTTTTCTTGTTTTCTTAGTTGTCAATCATATAACACATATTTATCTGTGTAAAATAATCCAATAATATCTGGGTGATGTTCTGCCCTTTTTTTCCATTCAGAATCCGGCATGACCACTGAATGAAAGCCATTCTGCATCGTCTTTCTTTTCCATGTACATAATGTGAACTGGACTTCCTTATTCTTGTGACCTCTTTGGTTTTTGAATTTGTGTGTGATAAAAATGGAGCAAAGTCTGTTCTGATCAATTGCCTTTGTCAAGCTAGTGTCCTATAAATGTAGAAGGATGTGCTACAGGAGGATGAATACTTTTAATTTTCATCCTTACCTGAATATTGTTTTGAGTGAGAAATTTGGAAATAGAAATTTTAATTTATAACTTTATCTGTTGTGTATTTCCTTCTTCAAGTCAGAAGCCTCTCAGTGGTGGCAGTAATGTTCTCTACTTATGGGCTGTTGGTGATCTATTTCTGGTCTTACTTGCTTTACATTATGGTCCGCAATTGCTTAGTACTCATTGTGGTGTGCCCATAGACATTGGGCAGTCAGATAATTAGGTGAGAAAGCTGAGAATTTTTCAAGAAACTTCCTTAGAGTTTTGAATTATCCTGAAATCTCCTAGAATGGAGATTAATGTTGATAAGGTTGTATGTAGTAACTTTTAAGGTCCTGTAGATTTGGTCAGTGAAAAAAAGACTGTTTTCAATATTTTTATGGGTTATTAAATATAAACAGGCAAAGGCTGCCATCTTTTTTCTCAGTTTCTTCTACTCAAATGGGAACTCATATAGCTAGATTAACTCAACATTTATTGTGAGGATTAATTTTCTAATGGGATGTGAAATGCTTTAAAGTTATTAACCATTTTATTAATGAGTAGCTTTTATGTAAAGCTTTTATGTCCAGCTTGATTTGATTTATGTTTGATTTATGTTTGAAGTGTGTGTTCCTGTTGTCCATATAGTTCTATTTTTCTCCCATGAAGTTTCAGCATTCTTTTCCTAGAGCCCTGAAAGATTTCAGGTCTATTTAGAGCAATCAGAGACATATTTTGGCCTGTTTTACATTTAATGTGTATCTAATCCTACTTTATGAACTTGTTCTGCATTTGTGATCATTACCAGGAAATTGGGCTTCTGTCTTTGACCATTATAATGTATGTTCTCAACTCAAATTTCAATCAAATGAGTTATGCTTTAGCATTTCTATCAGTGCTTACCAGTTTAGTGCAAAGTTATATATGAAAGGGTTAAAAAAACAGTAACAAAACTGAATAGGATAGGAAGTTGAAGACATTTTGTTGATTATTTTTATCCATAATCTGATGTTATATCAGTCTCTCTCAAATTTAAACCTGATTTGAGAAAAAATAATCTCTGATAAGCTTGACTTTGAAGATTCTCTTCTTAATTCCCAGACCTAGTATTTTTATGACTTTAGCATAAAAACAAAAAAATACATATTAAACAAAGTATACACCTTGTTTCTAAATTTCAAATAAAAACAGCAAGAGACTATTTTGGAAATTAAATACAAACTGAACATACACATATGAATACAGGCTGTTTGGAAAGTCACTTAAGACTCCAATTTTTAATCACAGTGGTAGATCGCTTGTTGAAACCTCAGAAAGTAATTAACAGGAAAGAATGGAAAGAAAAGAGGGAAGGAAAGAAAGGAAGAAATAAGGAAAGGGGCCGGAGGTTTCACTTAATAGAATCAAGATGACTTCTATTTAGAAAGAACCTTAGCTTCTATGATAGCGAGCTAGTGTGGTTGTTCTTCATCAGCCTTTTCATGACACGCTGATCTGGATTCCATCCACTCCTTGATTGATTGATCATGTCATGGACAAATGTTAATTGTTTTCACCAATACTTTCTAACCATGCAGTGGTCTTCTCATCTCTTACCCAGGGCTCACTGTCTTTTTCTAAAGCTTATCTAATTTCTAAAACCCTTTAGATCCATCTTGACCTTACTGTCATTCTGAAAAATTCAAGGAGGATTTAGAAGCTGGAGAAAAAAGTGAAAGAGAAAATGCTAAAGAGATAGGTACTGATATGGGGGAAGAAAGGCATTTGGAATTGGAGTAACTATTTTAAATATAATTTAAAAAAGAAGTTATCAGGATTTTGACACTTGGAATGTTAAAAAAGTTTAATGGGAGTATGCTTTGCACTAAGGATTTCATTTTTAAATCTACATTCCCTTATGGAGGCATGGCCTATTTGTTAAGATTTGAGCTTAAAAGATACACATAAATAGTTGTTAGCAGTAGCTTCAGTTGCAAATCCATCCAAATAGAGAGAAAAAAAATTCATTGAGAAAAATTTTCTAATTATTAGAACATTCTAAAGTTTAAATTTCTTACCCATTATTAATCTTAATAGAAACAAGTGTGACCACTACCTTTAATCTAGTATGTTACTTAGAAATGCAGTAGGGCAAATAGTGTTAAATAAGTATTTCTTTAAAAGAATACGTGTCTCTTTTTATATAAAAGTTGTATCCATTTTAACTACTGGGGGACAGAGCACATCTTGACTTTATTTTCTTTGCATTTTGTTCTAAGTTAGTATTTTACAAAACTTGTCATATGTTTATCTCTTACAAGGCTGAAGTTGTTACTGGTTGGTTGGTATCTTCTCCCTTGAAAATGTGTCTCATTCTACCTTGAATAGCACATGAATTTTGCTTGGATTAAAAAAAAAATCACCTGGGTGAAAAACAATATCTAAACTTAAGCCCACAGGAAAAAAACCCTTTTTCTCTCCTATCATTTTAATATATGAAATGCTGACTGAATACTAATAGAATTATCATTATAATCCCAAGATATATTCATTGCATTATTTTTCTTTCCTGAAAATAGTTTAAACAATCTCCTGGTAATAATTAATTTAGTTGTGGTATTTTATAATAGAGTAATATAACTGTCTATATGCTAGGGTAAAACAACAGCAACAAAATAGCTTTGATCATTTTTAAATGAGAATTTCTCCTTAAACTGACCTGGATTTGTAACATTTTAACATTTGTAAAATGTATATTTTTAATACTTAATTTCTTATTTTACTAGATTCCTCCTGCATGGAAAAATTACTTTCAAAAGATTGGAAGGAAAAAATGGAAAGACTAAATACCAGTGAACTTCTTGGAGAAATTAAAGGTACAATACACAAAGCATTGAATATATCCATGTAGAGATGCTATTTTTCATAACAACATGTTTGCTGATCTTCTGTGCCCTAGCATTAAATTCTTACCTCTAATGTTTGCTTATGTATAGAGGATAAATGTATAGTGTGTACCTGGACTTTAACTGTTTATAATGTTTACAGGATGAAAGTTTTGCCTTCTTTTTTCATTAGTCTATAAACATATGATTTATAGGATAAATTGCTTAACAGAAACATATGAAAAAGAAAAATGTTATGTCAGAAGGTAATGTTAACAAAAGTTAAAGATAATTTTAGTCCTTCCTCTTGAAATCATAATAATAGCATAACTTATGAATCCAAATCATTAATTTGAATTTCTTCTGATCAAAAAGGTCAACTATAGCACCTATAAAAAAAGGAGTTTATAGAATGTGCTGGACATAAATGGTTTGTGGGTAGATTCTGAGGCCTGTTTACCTTGTTCAAATCCAGGCACTGTCACTGACTTTTCTATCATTTGAATTCCTCATTTCTTGTCTATAAACATATGATTTATAGGATAAATTGCTTAACAGAAACATATGAAAAAGAAAAATGTTATGTCAGAAGGTAATGTTAACAAAAGTTAAAGATAATTTTAGTCCTTCCTCTTGAAATCATAATAATAGCATAACTTATGAATCCAAATCATTAATTTGAATTTCTTCTGATCAAAAAGGTCAACTATAGCACCTATAAAAAAAGGAGTTTATAGAATGTGCTGGACATAAATGGTTTGTGGGTAGATTCTGAGGCCTGTTTACCTTGTTCAAATCCAGGCACTGTCACTGACTTTTCTATCATTTGAATTCCTCATTTCTAAAATGGTGATAATAGTGCCTGTGACACAGGCTCATTAAGAGAATTAATACAGGTAAAATATTTAGAGCAGTGCCTGGCACTTAAGAAAACACTCAAGAAAGTAAGTTGTGCTCATCATTATTATCAATGTGCCTACAGTGTGATAGAGGGATTAATCTCAAATGGACTTCACAGGATTTAACTTTTCATTACCTCTGACCCTGGTGAACATGAGCAGCTTTGTTTTTGAAGATATGTGATTGATGTTATTATTTTCAAACATGCTAAGAAGTGGACAGTCCCAGTCCGATGCAGCATTAAGTTTACCTTATCAGTCAAGAAGTTACACATACTTCTTTCCTCTTTCTTGCTGATTCCTTTGTGGAGATGAAGTACTAGTTTTTGGTATCATGAATAGAATCCATGGCCATTAAGTGATGGTCTAACATTTGTCCCTTACAGACAATTTTCATCACTCTGATAAGCACTAACAATTTGAAATTTACCAATGAACTTGAGGTGAATCTTCATGGATAATAGCTCATTTAAGATGAACATTTGGCAATAACTATTTGATGAAAATGTTATTTTGAATTACAGAAAATTGCCTAGTGTTCAGGCATGTTATGTTTAGCTCAAATGAGAGAATGAAGTCATTTCTTTCCCAAGCAATAATTAATAACTCATTCCATTAACTAATACAGCATCAAAATCAAGTGGAAATTGGATATTATTTTGAATTTCACTGCTGTTTTTTACTCATAAAGGCCATTTACTATTTTGGAAAAAAATGGCAACTCAACTTATAACTGATAGGTAGAAAGAAAGTCATCAGTGACATATTCTCTATCCAGCTGCAAGAACATGGTGTGTGCTGCTTTGCACGTCATTCTGTGTTTTAGTCCCTTTCCAACGTCATCGGTTTTATAACAGTGAGAATAGAGATGGTTTATGCAAAGGCAGGCTTTTGTCAGCATGAACGATAGGGTCTTGCTTTCTCTTAGTGGTAACAAAGCTAACATTATTTTATGATTCATCATAAAATTTTTATGCTTTGCATTATCTACCCCCCAATACTTTCAATCTTTCTTTATTTTTCATCCTAATTATGAATTTAAAGTGCAAAAATTCTACTAGTCTTATAGTGTAAAGGTGTTTAAATCTTGAAAGTGAAACACATGCAAGATTAGGCTTTTTAAGTTCTTTAATTTCTTTTTCTGGATTCTGTATTTGATACATGAGCTTTCATTTGTACACTACTCCCAGTTTTATGGGCATAGAAGATAAGATTCTTACTAAATTTTTCACTTTGATTTATTGTGCATAGTTCCCTTCTTACATCCTAATACTTTGTCACCACAATCATACAGAAAATATACCAATATTATAATAAAAAATGAAAAAATTGAGTTAAAGTAGTATTCAAATAGTTTGCTTCAACCACTGCTGAAACTCAACATACATTTTTAGTCAGTATGAGATCAGGTCAGTTATTATCCACTTAAATTAATTATAATTATTCTAAAAAATTTTAATGATCAAAATACTGTCTTCAAGAAATACCTACTATTGTGGGTTATCAGTATTTAGTATTATATCACAAGCATTGCATATTTTTAATACTTCTTACTATTTTCTCTCATCACAAAATTCATATATTTCTTAAAAAAAGTATACACAGACACACAAAGAAAAAAATTGCCCTCTAATTATACCTGTGCTATATTGTATATGCTTTCCATTTTAATTACTCATACATGCTTAAATTTTCCCCTTAAAATTAGAATCATCCTTTTAGTATTCTTCTGTAATATATTTTTCTCACTTAATGATATATTTATGAATTTTTTTGTGATTAGGTCATCTTCTAAAATATTTTTATTTGCAGAAAATATTGTATAAAATGAGGTTCTTGTAATTTGACTGTCTTATATTTGACACTTATGCTGTTTTTAGTCATCATTATAAAGAAAAGGAGCATGGATAACCTTTTAATATTTTTCATTAATTAATGGTTATTTTCTTGGTATATATTCCTAAAAAGTAAGATTCCTGGGTCAGAGTGTATTCTTTCTTAAAAAGGCTTTTGGTTCATATCGCCACATCGCCTTTCAGGAGGGTATAGTGTTTTGTGCTCTCACCAGCAGGACCCCTAAGTCTTCTCTTGCTCTCAAAGACAAGTATTATTAAAAAATTTCTTGTCAGTTTGATAGAGGAAAAGAACATATTACTGCTGATTTGATTTGAATTTCTTTGATTATTATTGAGAATGAAGAGTTTTGCCTAAATTTATTTGTATTAAATGTCTCTTACTTTGAGAATTGCCTGTTTATGTTATTTGCCCATTTTTCCTTTAAAAGATTTGCCTAGTTCTTATGATTCTGTAAGACTCTTAAGGTATATTTTAATGATATTAATCTTTATCTGTGATAGATGTTATATTTTGTCATTTTCTTTACCTTATGGTTTTGCTGTCAAATCTTTCCCTCCTTTTTTTAAAGCTTTGTTCTGTTGGGGTCTTGTTTAGAAAGCCTTCTCCCACTCTGAGATTAGATAATATTCGGCTATATTTTCTTCCAATTCTTTGACTACATTTTTTTTGTACATTTAACTCTTTAATTCCTCTTCAATATATATTTAATGTATAATTTCAATCAGAGATATAACTTAATTTTTTTCTTAAGCAATTAACCACATATCTTTGTATTATTTATTAAATAATCTTTTTTGTCCCTTTTGCCTTGAAATAACAACTTTTATTACATACTGATTGTGAATTTGGAGCCATTGTTCAGTTTCTGGTTCTATTCCATTTATCTTTCTATCTAAACTCTTATTAGTACTATGTTAAATTAATCACTGTAGCTTTATAGAATCTTCGAAGATAAGTACTGCACTTGCAAGACAACATTAATAATTTTTCTTTAAGGTGTTTGCATACTTCTTTAAAGTTCATTTAAACTTATAATTATGGATTAATAACTAATATCCCAAAGGGATTTTTAAAATATTATGTTACATTTATATAAAATTATGGGCTGAATAGACATCTTTATACTATTGTATCTTTCCATCTTTCCATTTAAAATCATTTATTCAATTCTTTTATGTCCCTCAACACTTTTATTTTTTAAATACAGATTCTACACATTTCTTTTGGATTTCTCTATAGTATTTAATATTTTTGCTTGTTCTTGTGAATGTGATAGTCTTCATTCTATTTTCTTTTTGTTATTATATTTAGGGATGCTACTGAATTTTTTGCTTGTTCATTTGATAACTTCTTTCATTATTGAACTTATTAGCTCTAGTCATTTCAGCTGATATGTTTCTTCCTTTTCGGCAGCTATATATCCCTTTGTCTTCACCCTTTCTCTTATTACACTGCCTGGACTATCAAGAATAATATTAATATAGGTAATAGCAGTTATTTTATATAGTTTTAAATTTATGGACTTCATTTTAATATTTTGCCATTAAATATTATGTTGACTATTGATTTAAGATATTCTTGATCATTAAAAAAACATTCTAGTCATAGCTTTTTAGGACTTTCTCTGAGAAATGGCATTTTTATTTTTTGGGATATCTTACTGGTTTTTGTTTTTCAAATTACTGATGAAATAAACCCTGATTAGTCATGTAGTCATGTGTAGTCTTGTTTTAATGTATTGCATGATTTTATTTGCTCACATTATAGTTGTTACTTTTACATCTGCAATTACAACTGAGATTAGTTTGTGTTTTTCTTTATTTGTACTATTTTTGTTAATTTTTGGTACCAGAGTTAACAGTTGAATTGGAAGCCTCTTCCTCCTTCCCTAGGCTATTTAAAATATTTGATAGCATGAGAACTACTTATTCCTTGGAGTTCTGAAAGAGTATACTTATAAAGCATCTAAGCCCAGAGTTTTCTTTGGAGAGAATTCTTTTTCCTCTTACATTTTCTACTTCGCCTTGAACCAGTTTGCCAGGAAAAACATTTCCTAGAAAATTGTATATTTCATTGATATTTTTAAATATGTTAGTATTGATTTAAAATATAGTGTCACTTATTTTGTTTTCTATTTATTTGCTGTTATATATTCCATTTAAAATTTTGCATATTAGTGTTTTCTCCCTTTTGTTCCTCAGTTTTACTTGTCAGTGGTTTATCTACTTCTCTGTC